TAAGTGTCTCTTCTCTCTATCAGTAAAATATGGTATGGCTAATGCTATAAAATATTTCTATTTTTCACCAGACTATTAATTATCAAAACTATATCTATCCGAGTTGGGCTAGGCAACTTTATAGGAAATTATCCTATTTTTATCTTTAGTTGTTTTTCCTTAAACGTGTAAAAGAATGTTAAATTTTACATATAAAATACTTTGGGATATTGCTACTATTTAAATTGGCAACGATTTATGCTAAATCTTTTAAAAGCAAATGAAACTATGAGATACAGACCCAATGCATATGATAGTTGTATATTTATTCCTCACCAGTGTGACTTTTTTCATTACTTGAATTATCCGTTTATGATGTTAATTTTTGTGTTTCTTATATCTTCATAATGATGAAGTAGGTGTTAATAGATTGGGATATATAGATGTTAAAAGTTCCACGTCAATTCGGCGCGGAAAATTTGGCGCGGCGTCAATTCGGCGCGTATTAAATACAGCTACAATCTATTATAAATTTATTAGTATAAAAAAAGGATGATTAAATAGAAGTCATTTAGAATGTTAGTCCTATTAATTATTTCTTTATATTTTTTTTACAAAAATCTTAATTTTATTTACTAAATTTTGTAATATCAATAAAAAATTTAATAAAACAAAAAAAATTGACAACCAATATTTATACCGATTTCTTTGGTAGACCAATTTACCATATTATAAGGTATGTTGATTAGTAGCTAATATTATGTAACCCTGGAGAATTTGCGCATAGAAAAATGAAAGAAATAAAGAAAAAGAAAATTTTCGACCTCTATCTCTAATCTTACATATTATTTTGGCTAAATCATAATTGACCGTTTTTAAAAATAAGCCCAAATCGGCCCGACGAATTAATGCGCAATTTTTTTATTTATTTATATTATAGGTATTGAAATTATAAATATACTAATTGAAAATAAAATTATAAATTTCCAGTGTCATTAAATATGAGAAATTTGACATTCCAATTATCATGGATAAAAAAATATAAGTGACTTATCATGACATTGACTTAAAAAATCAAAAAAAGAAACTAAAAAGATTTTATCCGACTAGATTCATTGAAAGACAAGAGTCGGTGAAACTCTCTATTGAACTATATGATGTTCTATTTACAGCACTGGAATTTTATATATCAAGCAAGGAAAAAGATTCAGCAGATACCTAGAATCTTTTGCAAGCTAAGCCATAATTTTTAATATCTATTCGTTGTGTTTATTTTTTATTATATTATACATATTATTTTAGCAAAATGCTTCCAAATATTGATCTGGATTTAAGGGAGGTTATGAATAGAGCAAAGGAGGATATTGTTGAAATATTAACAAATATTAGAGAGAATGTGGATAAAAATTTTATGAAATATGAGAAAGCAAAGGAGATTGCTTATGTTTGGGATTGAAATTTTTAAACCTAGAGTAGTTTCTAGACAATCCAAATATCAAATATTGATGCATTTACGATTGAGGATTTTTATAAAATAAACATTTTTATTCATCTTATTATATAAATTAAAGGAAAGATTTATTAGTCATATTTTTATTTTAAAGAGCTTTTTTTTTCTTTTGCCGGTTGAGTCTAAACTGTTGATTACGCTTGAAGCACGAGAGGATATTAGGAAATATAGTAGGCTCATATGATAAGTTACTTTGTGATGTCTGATTTTCCTAATCATGACAGAATAGAGTATTCTTTGAGACCAAAAAAATGCTCTGCCCCTTTCCATGTGTATTTGCACTTTAGGTTTTCAATATCAAAACATTATTAATTATTTTAGCTACATTACCAATTAGTACCTGCACTAATGAAATATCTTTTTCAACTTAAAAAGGATATAAACCTATTTAAGAAATACTACCGGTGAAAAATCCTTGAATTAGCCCTATTATAATTTATAAGGAGATTATTCTTAATAAAAATTTGATTCTAGATGAATTAGCAAAATCTCAGAGAAAAGTAGATCTCTCTTTATAAATTCAAATCAAAATGTTTATCGACCGATTTGGGTCTATTTATAAAAACTTAGCCAAAATAATATGTATACATTATAATGTGATAAATTGTCCACCAAAGAAATCGGTATAAATATTGGTTGTTAATTTTTTTTGATATTATTAAATTTTTAATTGATATTGCACATTTAGTAAATAAAATTGAGATTTTTGTAAAAAAAATATAAAGATATAATTAATAGGACTAACATTTAAAATGACTTCTATTTAATCATCCTTTTTTATACTAATAAATTTATAATAAATTGCAGCTGTATTAGATATACGCCGAATTTTCCGCGCCGAATTGGATACTATGTTATATATGATAGACAATTTAATTCAAGTATGCAAATATCATACAACTAATATAAATCTAAACAAAGAAAAAGTTATATTCATTGAGCGTCACATTATTGCTGTCCGTTTGTTTCTTTTTACAACCATTTATATATGATATTTATTTAATATGTTAATATATAATAATAAAAACCAGAGATGTGAATCCGGACCCGGACCCTGAACCCTCATATTTTGACTGTACCCGAATCCGGACTCGGACCCTTTTTAAAAGTGGAGGGTCCAAGGGTTCTAGGGGTCATAAAAAAATAATATAAAAGCCTAAATAATAATCACTTTAAAACTATCATTGATAGAGAAAAGGTTGTTGCAAAATATTTAAGAACTCTCAGAATTGTAAAAATATTAACATCAATAAAAAGGTCAATGACAATATTAGATTGCACAACAAGTTGGTCCTAAATTATAATGCTAGAACGATTATTAAGTTTGAAAGATTTCTGTAATGATTTTATTATAGGGGCATGTGAAGTCATTTTGTCGGAAGATGATTGATGCCAAATAAAGGGCTTTACTAGTATATTAGTTCCTTTAAAAATAACAACATGAGATTACGATCAGAACAATTATGTTTATCTGATTTTTATGGCATATGGATTAGATGCAAATTAGATATAGAAAGACGTCCTTTTTCATACGAAATATTAGAAACATGAAAATTCGAAAGCAACAATATTTGCAAAATAGTGTTGTATACGTTTCTATATATTTAGACTCTCAATATCAAGTTGTGTTGAGTATTGAGCAAAACCAAATGGCATAAGACCATAAGGATCCATGGCATACGCCCACTGCATTATTTACAATATTTAGGCTACGACAATAATCCTACTGGTTGTAGTGATAATAATGATAATGATAGCAACATTGATGATCTTGAAATTTTACTTTTAGATAGAGAAAAACAAACAAATTATCATCAGATAGAAAGGAGGATCAAAAAAAGCCTATTGCATTTTTAATAGAAATATTCTTGGAAGTTAAGAGAATAAATAAGACAAATATTTTAAAATTCTGGGAAATTCTTTAATATATCCAGAATTATATATCTTGTCTAGAATCGTCATGGCTGTACACAAGTACAAAAATTATGTATTATAAATATAACTATCTATTATAGGTAAGCGTATAACGTGGATTTTCAAGTTTGAAACATCCCTGATAAAAACTATCATTTATCAACGTTATCAATTTTAGGTTAATCGATTAAAATATTAACAAAACTAGTAGAAAGCCCGTCAAAAATGACGGGGAATGAGATTTTTATTCATTTTTTTACTATAAATATCATGCCAGGTTCCTCACAATATTAGGAGGAATATAATTATAAAAGTTTATCCAGCACAGCTCAACCCTTAATAATTTGAAAATCCTTTTTTAGACATTTTAAAATCTGGGCGGTCGTTTGGGGTCTGATGAGGAAATAGTTTACGTATTTCATCCCATTTAGGGTTGCAGGTGAAAGTAATGAATAATGATGGCTTACCAAAGCAGCGTACAATAGCCATTGCGTCCTGATAAAGCTGATGCATATGCCTTGGGTCACCGGTAAAAGAAGAAGGCAAAATTATTCTTCTGCCAAGATTATCAGCATTAGTATCTCCCTCTAAAATAGCATCATGTATGCCTTGATAGAGTTCGGCGCGTAATTTGGATTGATTATTACGTATAAAATTTAATAGAAGCGTTTCCTGTTTGGCATAACTGTGGACGATAAATTGGTGATAAAGACGTTTGGATCTTAAAATAACATTCTCATCATCCTGCCTGACCATAAAGCGATAGGCATAGTACTCTCTGCAGGTAACATATTTATTAGTTGGGTTTCTATAATGAATGGATGGGTGGTACAATATCGCCTCGGGGAAATAGAAGAACATATTGCAAGGGATCGTATGAGGAATGGAGCTCGTTAATACGTCATAAAGGACCAGATATAGTTTTTAAGATAATATCTCTATGGGCTATATGATCACTGCCATCACCTAATAATACTGCTATTTCAGATGAGGTAGGTTTATTGCGATAACGTATGTCAAAACTTGGAGTAGATTTTAAGTTTAAGGATATGTTAGGAACGCCATTAGCGATCATAGAAGATAATCTCAAAAATTGAGAAGCAAAGAGGTTGTAGGTGTGAACAATATCCTGCAATTCCATTAAAAGACAACGATCTAAAAACGGAACCTGGTTATGTCTGTTTTCTATCTCACTTATACTATCATGTATATATAATTGGGAAAATTTAGGTGTTTCCCCTAATGTTGGTAGGAGTGAACCAATGCGATGATGAACCTGTCCATTAATTTGAAAGGTATAATTACCTGATCGCGAATTGGATACATTATTATTTATATTAACTCCTAGTGAAGTGAATGACAGTGATGAATTATATGCTCTTATGTTTGTTAAAAAGTGGGATGATGAACAATGATCCCCCGGTAAATAAACGTAATAAATTTGGTGGTAATTGGGTAATTTTAAATAAAATTACCTTCCCATTCAAGCAACATGTAGAAAACTGAATATTTTACATGAGCTTTTTGATAATTTTCTCCATATTTTAGCATTGCAGAAGGCGCATATTACTGTCATGTTTCCGATATCTAATATAGGTGAGTGGTGGTCATCAAATATATGTCAAAATATGCATGGTAGAGGTGCCATAGGGAATGTAATAGTTTTTATAGAAATATCAGTTGAAGGTATCTGGATGAATATAAAATAATCCTATATATATAAAACATTAAAAACCTGCAAGGGAGTTAATATCAGGTGTAGGTCCTTATTATCCTGCATACATGTAATTCTAGAACGGGTAAGGCGTTTGTTGAGTCGCCATTTTTTTCTTTGCTTATCTTTAATAGAAATATCATGTTTTGTAGCTATGTAAGGGATCAAGTTTGGGTTAACCTAAAAAAATAAGGAAATCAGGCAAAAATATAAAACATTATTATTGAAATAAATCGAACATTAAAATACTGTACTGAACCTGTAAAGGGGTCAATATATGCATATCTCTAGTAGTTGGGAGGCTATCATCAAAAAATAAAATTTGTCTAGTTGGGGACTTACCAAGACTATCATGTTTTTCTGAACATTTATTTTGTATTTGTTGATTATTAATGGTAGATATATCAATATTTAAACAATTATAAGGAGGAAATAAAGCAGGGTTTGTTATCTAAAATAAAAACAAATAAAAAATTTTTAAAAAATGAATGCGTTAAACTTGCAGAGGAGTCAAGATTAGGATCAACTCCCTAGAAATATTGGGAATATCATCAGAAGCTAAAATGGATGAATTCTAAAAAATAAAAAAATATAAGAACATTTATGCCTTTTTAGTATATATATATACACTAACTTTATTATGTGTTGTTAGTATATATTTTGCTGGTATTCACAATCCCTATAGCTATTCTTTTGTTGATTGACCTGCCATCTTTTTCTTTCATTAATGACGGATAAGTCACCATCTGTACAATCATTAAATGAGGTTAAGACAGGGTTTGTTATCTAAAATAAAAACAGAAGAATAATTTAAAAAATATAAATGCATTGAACCTGAAGAGGAGTCAATATAACGTTCAACTACCTAGAAATAGTGGGAATATCATCAGAAGCTAAAATAGATGTTATCAGTAAATATTCAAATAAAGTAACCCATGACCGGAAAAAAAAAATTCTAAAATATAAAAAAATATATAAACATTTATGCATTTATATATATATATAAGGCTAACTTTATTTTGCGTTATTAGTAGATTTTGTAGGGTCTCACGATCCCTATAGCGTTTCTTTTTTTGATTGACCTGCCATCTTTTTCTTTTATTAATGACGGATAAATCACCACCTGTACAATCATTAAGTGAGAGACAGGGCTTGTTATCTAAAATAAAAACAAAAGAATAATTTAAAAAAATAAATGCATTGAACCTGATGAGGAGTCAATATACCACCTGTACAATCATTAAATGAGGGTAAGACAGGGAATAATATAAAAAATATAAATGCAATGAACCTGAAGAGGAGTCAATATTAGGTTCAACTCCCTAGAAATAGTGGGAACATTATCAGAAGCTAAAATAGATGTGTTCTATAATATAAAAGAGTATTAAAAAAATATATATATAAGGCTAACTTTATTTTGCGTTGTTAGTAGATTTTGTAGGGCCTCGCTATCCCTAGTGAGTTTCTTTTTTGATTGACCTGCCATCTTTTTCTTTTATTAATGACGGATAAATCACCACCTGTACAATCATTAACTGAGGTTAGGACATGGCTTGTTATGTAAAATAAAAACAAAAGAATAAATAAAAAAAATAAATGCATTGAACCTGACGAGGAGTCAATATTTCACCTGTACAATCATTAAGTGAGGTTAGGACATGGCTTGTAATCTAAAATAAAAACAAAAGAATAAATAAAAAACATATTAATGTATTAAACCTGAAGAGGAGTCAATATTAGGTTAACCTCTCTAGAAATAGTGGGAATATCATCCATCAGAATCTAAAATAGATGTATTCTAAAATGAAAAGTATAAGCATTTTTAGTATATATAGATGAATAACTTTATTTTGCATTTGGTAGATTTTATTGGGATTCACGTCATATGACCCAGTATAATTTTTTTACTTGAATATGAGTTGAATTAAGAATTGAATTATATTTATTTTTTGATAAGCCCAGCTTTCGGCTGGAGTGTGTAGCCTGAGGTAGAGAAATAAGAGAAAATTAAATGGAAAGAAAATAGGGAAATTAAAAGGGAAAGGAAGGTAAAGATAAAGAAAAAGAAAATTAAAAAGTGAAGATAGGAAAGGGAAATGATGAGAAAGGGGAAGTTAATAAAAGAAATTAAGAGGGAAAGAAAGGAAAAGAAAATTTTAGTATTTTTTAAATTTTGATTTTTCCCATATTATTTGAGACTGTTGTTAAAATAATGAATGTTAGTGATATCTTTAGTAGGGATACATACGTTGTCGGCATAGCATAATTAGTATACATGTTGTATGTTACTGAAAACTATTCTTTGAGTTAAAATATATATCTTTATAAAAATATTAACATAAGACTAACATTCAACATTAAAAAATCCCAATATAGGTTCAAGCCTACAATATCTGGAAAAAATATCCAAGCATCCAAGATCTTAATATTTAAAAAGATTTTCTCAAGCCCACCTCAATCCCTAATAATTTTGAAACCAGATATTAAATTTATAATTAATGAAGGGGAAATATCTGATTTACCAATTAGTCTACGGGTAAAATATATTACTTTATAAAAATAATAACATTAGACTAACATTTAACATTAAAAAATCCCAATATAGGTTTAATTTTGAGAAATATTTTTTAAGCCCAGTCCAAACCATAATAATTTTGAAAAAATCTTCCCAAGCCTAGAGATATTAAATTTATTGAATTAACTCAGTTATGAATTTCTATATAAAATAATAATAATTTGTACAAAGCACTTATTAGAGAATCATGACAAAATAACGACTGCCCTTATATGTGAAGAGAAATTTAGTTTAATTTAACACAATTTAATAGACTTATAATATTTAAAATTTTCAAAACAGGGAAATGTGATTGAATAAGGCAATTTATATGAAGTAGTTTCTTGAAATTTTGTGATATTTAGTGATAGAGTGAAAGTAAGTGTTAAAGAGTAACCCAGTTTACATTGGTCATAATGTTTTTGAACCACATAAGATCAACCTGCATTCAAATTTCCTATTTTTTAATTAACACTGATTAAATTTACACAACGCTTTAACCTAATTAAAGAGTCTTATTCTTAATTTATAAAGTAGATAAAATAATTAGTATAATTAACTTAATTTAATATTCTTATTTAAATATTTAAACTTCAGAAAACAAACAGATATAAGTGAATAAGGCAATTATAAGGATAAGTTGTCTGAAAGGTTTTGTGATATTATAATGAAGAGTATGGAGTGAAAAGTGTAAGTGATATGTAAGTGATATGTAAGTGTTAAAAGAGTATATATCTTTTCTTTTTTTAAAAAAGAATTTAGCTTAATTTAATAATCTTACTTCTTCTAAAATTTAACTTATGAAATCAGTGAAAAGGAAACTTTGATTTAGTCTGTTTTAGAGTGCCCTTATTTAGAGAATTTTTTTAAATAACTGGCACTCCGATTTCAGGAATTCAAGGAAAATGATGATCTTGTTGAACCATCGTCCAATCAGTATTATTTATAGTTCTAATTCGCTAAAAGTAATAATCGCTAAAAATAATAAAAAATATAATATATTTAAAAATAAATTCAAGGAAAATGATTAACTTGTTGAACCATCGTCCAAGCAGTATTATTTATAGCTCTAAATCGCTAAAAGTAATCATCTCTAAAAATTGATAGGATCATCTGTTTGTATAAAATAAATAAATAAAATCAACAAATAAAAAAAATAAAAATAAATACGTACCGATGACATGACGTCACGATGACGTAGTTAGGACATCGGAAAATTATAATATAGATAATAAAAGAAACTATTAAGTTAATAGATAATATTATAATATAAAATAAAAGAAATAATAAAAAATCAATCGACAAAGTAATAGGTTATTTTACGGTTTGACTAAACTACAAATGCTAAGGTAAACTGCAAATGACAAGGTAAACTGCAAATGCTTAGGTAAAAATAGCGAGGTTCATTTTCTTATTCTATAAATAACTTATAAAAAATTATATTCTCAGATATATTCAATAATAAATGAATAGACATTAATAGTTGTATTTCCTTTTATCTTATAATAAAGAGTTTAAATCCTTTATTATAATATAATAAAAATAATTATAATTACATTTTAAATTTCATTAATATTAATTTTAAAATAAAATAAAATGCGAAAAAAGCAGAAAAAAATTAAAAACTAACGAAAAATTTTAATGCCACCTAATACTATAATACAATACAAATCAAAATAGGGGGTCCTAGTTCAAATACATTTAGCCTATACTAAAAAGCAATTAAGTATGATTTTTATGAGCTCGATTTTTCGAGAATCTTAAGCTTAGATAATATGATGAGATAACGGTTTTGTTGGATATTAGGAGATGGTGCGAAGTAAATTAAGAATCTATCCACTAATTATATTTTATCCATCAACGGATAAACTCTTATAGTTAGCTCAGATAATATTAATTGTAACTCTGGTAAAAGTCTTCGTCTCCATTATCGGTTTTTGTTATAATGTGACCTAAATCCTTAAAAAAGGCTATGCGTGAGTGGAAGTTAGCGTATTTGGTAAGAATACATTGATATAAGACAAAGTATAATCATATTTGGTAAATTTATTTCGTTCTGCGTCGGCTATAGCATTATCGTTTAGGTTGGAGGGTGCGAGTGGATTTGAACAGAAAACTTCTAAGTTAGGAACACATCGTTCTCTATTAGGTGTGGATGGTCCATTAAGAAGTTTACCATTTGTGTTGCAAGGTTCAGTCGACACAAGGTTAGAAGGAATTCCAGTAGATTTAAATCCCGAAATATAGTATCATTGAAATATTAAAAATAATATATTACAGTTTTGAATAATGTTTTTGATTTTTGCCGCGTTATTTTTTAAAAAAACTTACGGCTGACATAAGTTTAAGAGAAGAGATAACTATTGAAATAAAAATATAATTAATTAATTTAGAATATAATTTTTTTGTCTCGGCTATATCAACCAGATTCGAAAATAATTCGAAAATATTCTTGTAAAATTTCCTACAGTCATGTTAAGCCTTTAAAGTTATTTCCCATAAATATCTAAAAGCTGAGAAAAATGTTTTAAGGCATACTATAATTTATTTAATTTTCCTTTAATTACTTGAAACCTTTAAATTTCGAGGGATAAATTTAAATAAAAATTTCAGATTTAGATTTATTTAAGGCAGAGATGTCGGTCAGGGCAAAAAATGATATAATTTTGAAAATCCGGACCGGTCATAATTAAAAGATGAAAATATTTTCCAAAAAGGATTTAAATTAGCACTTTTGTTTTTTTGAGGAGACAGATTAAAGTGTTTTTGGTAAGATGATTCAAGCTGGGAATTGCTACCTATGATATAAATGACATTAGACGAAAAAAATGTAGGGGAGACCGGGGTAAAGCGGTTGACGGGGTAACAATGTTAACGCGAATAACTTTTTAAACATTGAGTATAAAGACCTTAAATTTGGTGTGAAGATGTATTTTTATATCTAATTTCTTACCTATGTTCATCTTTTAAAAAACTTACCTGGTTTTATATATTTTGTCAAAAAACTGTTTTTTACCCAAAAAATATAAAAATCATTCTCTAGTATATTTTGCTTTTAGTAAAATTTACATATCCTCAGGATTCAAAATTTGGCACACATGTTCCTTAATGTATTAGCTATAAAATAAAATTTATCTGACATCTTTAGCTATATTAGAAGTCACGCAATAACGATATTTATAATATATGTCACCTAGGGGTAAAGCTGTTATGGGTAAAACGGTTAAAATATAAAATTATTCACATTAATTTTTCATTAATTCATTTATTATAATTTTTATTGTATCAATCAAATAATGAGAAATTATAAAAGAAAAACCATATACAGAGATGTAAATATAATAAATGAAGCCATAAAATATAAAATAACAAATAATACTTCATTAAATTTGTCTGCTAAAAAATTATACAACGTTGAGAAGGAGATGTAAAATTGGTATTAAAAGTTCAGATCATCATAAACAAATATTTACAAATGAAGAAGAATCTAGATTGTGTGACTACATATTAGAAGCAAGTAGGTCATTTATGGGATTAACGCCTAAACAAGTAATTAAATTATATTGTTTGTATTATATTGTATTTCATATTAATAAAAATGCTCAATTGAAATTATATTGTATTTCATAATTTTAATAATGCTCAATCTAAATATCAATATTAATTTGGTAACTTTAATAAAAATGCTCAATTGAAATTATATTGTATTTCATAATTTTAATTCTAAATATTATTAATTTGGTGACTTTAATAAAAATGCTCAATTGAAATTATATTGTATTTCATAATTTTAATAATGCTCAATCTAAAAATCATGTGGGGCAACAATTTCAGATTTATGATATTCCAGGAGTGTTAAAAAATGAAATACCAAGGGCAGTGACATCAAATAATATATTAAATGGATTCTTAGCATGTGGCATATTTCCTTTAAACCCAAATATATTTACAGAACAAGATTATATCTGCTGTAATAATTCAAATGCTAACTCAAATATTGAATTTGAAAATAATGATGAAAATATTAGAGTGACTCAAAATCTTACAGTGATTCAAAATCTTACAGTGACTCAAAATCTTACAGTGACTCAAAATCTTACAGTGACTCAAAATCTTACAGTGACTCAAAATAATGATAGTGATTTATCTATATTATTGAACGAAAATGTTCCAGATGATATTGATGAACCTTATCATGATATGTTACCATCATGCTCAAAAAATTATAATAAAGTATTCAATCCTTCATCTATAATACCTATTCCAAAATTATTCAATATTTCATCGGATAAAATATCTAAAAAAAAGAATTCAGAAATATTAACATCTACACCTTATAAAAAAAAATTATTAATTCAGAGAAAAAAAAGATATCAAAAAATAATTGTTTATGTGTTATTTGTAATAAAAACTATAAAAATAGTCGCGAGGGCGATGAATGGCTAAAATGTACAATGTGCCTTGAATGGGCACATTCTAAATGTGCTAATTATGATAATTATTTTACATGTCCTTATTGTATCGATTAGTTTTTAAATAAAAATCATAAATAAATCTTAAATTTGTAATATTTGTTAAATAAAACAATAAATATGTGTCAAATATTATTTTAACCACTTTACCCTAGTGCTTATCAATTTTACCCTGTACCCAGGGTAAAATGGCGAAAATGAGTAGTTTTACATAACTAATCATAGCTCCTAAGATATTATAGGTAGAGGGCTACACTTTTTTTTATCTTGTAGAAGAGAGATGAGGCTACACATTGATCTATAATTTGTTGTGTTTGACTCTTGTTTAAAATTTTTATGGTAAATATGCAAAATGCCTATCGTTTTACCCCGGTCTCCCCTAACTAATATATAAAAGGTAGGTTAGGCTTAAGAAGGTTACATATGTTTTCAAGAATTGACCCCTACGTACAAAAATGATATTTTAAATAACAATTAATAAAATTGAGGTTTATAATTTATTTTTTTTTGTCTTTAGTATATCGTACTAAATATTACAAATTTAAGCAACTTTTTTTCAAATTTATATGATTATAATATAGCATAAATAATACCAAATAATATCCAAATACCCCTAGCAGATATCTAAACTTTTACTTAAAAAAATTATTATAATAAAATAGTATAATAATATTACTGAGTTAAGCAAATTTTTAATTAACCTTATATTTCTTGATAATAGATATCTATATTATTTAAGGGTTAGTAGTTTGAACTTACCCTTGTTAACTTTTCTAATTAAGATTAGCATAGATTTTTTTTTTAATTTCAACAAATTATCAAAAAAAAATTTTTTAAATCTCAATTTAATTTCCAAAACTAACATGAAGAATATCTCGATTTTTCTGATGTATACAATTGGTAAGATACTTTTAATTCACATAAACCCTCTATATAATAATTTATCTAATTTTAATATTTTTAAAACTAGATATAAATGTATTTATTTAATTATTTACCTTAAAATATCGCCCTTTATCCTGGAACTGGAATTTAATAAGGTTTTAAATTGTTAAAATTATAATTTCTATAAAGGTAATATACATGATGTAAAATCAGGGTTGGCAAGTCGGTCAATTGACCGAAGGAATATTTGACCTGGTCAAATACTCTAAAAAAATCTAAAGAAAAAAATATTAAAAATATGTTTAAAACAAAACGATATAAATACATGTGATCACAATGTTGCTTATTACCAATATCAAGAGGAGCATCTCACCAGTCGTGAATTCAATGAAGTATATGAAATAATTCAAGAATTAGCCCTTTTACAAGGTTGTGATGACCAAAATATTTTAAGTAATATAATTAATTTCAAAAGCAAAATCAGCATGTTTAATAGCGAATTATGTGGAAAACACTAATTTTCACAAGAAACAATCAATTCCGACCTCAAGTTAATTGATTAAACCTTGCCATCATGCCCATTAAGAGACTAACAATTCCTAGTTCTTCTAAAGAAATATGTCGATTTGGTAAAATTCTTTTGAAAATATAAATCGAAAGATCTCGGCATCAGGAAAATTGATTAAAAAATATTAAAGAAAATGATAATATTGATGAGTCAGAACAAGACTCTGCTACAGAGAGCTAAACGTTAGTTATTCAATTAAAATGAATTTAAAAAATTAATATTATAGATTAATTTTATATTATATTTAAAATAAAGTTAATATTGACTTAAAAAAACATATATTTGAATTTGACCTGTCAAATATCGGTCAATTGACCGAAACGTATTTAACCGGTCTGCACAACCCTGTGTAAAATTATTATCTTTATTGAAATTTAAAGTTTTTGGAAGACAATTAAAACTTATCACAATAAAGAAAATCAAATAATTTTAGGCATTTAATTTTAAATATCGCCACAAATAATTTTAAGATTGAAAAATTAATATACATTGTTATATTCTCATAATATAAATAATTTTATTTTTAACAGCTGAATTAACGTTAAAAGATCTATTTGATTATTATTATTATATTAAAAAATAAATTGTGAAAAAACTATAATTCAATCAAAATTTGTTTATTCTTTTCTTTTTATTCGATTTTTGAAAGATATTTTTCTCTCAAGGAAATGAATATTTTTTAGTTTATTTAAATTATATTTTGGCATGTTTTTTTTAAATAACAGGGATTGCCGTTGTTTTTGAACAGAAACTCTTATTATGAAAACACAAAATACGGAAAGACATTTTTTATGTTTTGTTCTCATTCAATTCGATCCCCGTATAAAAAATAATAATAAAATGTCAAAATCCATATTATATCGTTGTTTTGGGCAAATTCTCAATCAAAACGAACATTTTTTATTTAAAAATTTTTTTACTTAAACTTATAATTTATTCATTAAAAAATTATAAATAAATTTATTTGCTTAAAATTTGTGCATCAATGGTATTGCATAGAAGAATATTATAAAATAATCGAAAAAATTTAAAAAAATATATAGCTAAACAATTAATAGTTAAATGGAAAAAGATATGAGCGTCATATGTAAGCAAGGATTTATATATTCTTTTACATGATAAAAATATCCTTCACAATCTTGAGCTGATACTTAAATTTAAAAGGAGAAAAAAAATACTATGAAATAATTTCATCAAAAAGTATTTGAGAAAGTTTCAACTAATTATTCATGTGCGATAAGTTTCAACTAATCATGCATGTGCGATTTACATTTTTTAATTAATATTTTTATATCAATGAACATATTTCTTATTAGCGTTTCAAGATGACACAATGATGATTATTTTAGAAAAGAAAATTAGTTAACGTCATTCTTAATCTCCTTCATTAAATAAATTTGATTCTATATTACTTTTTAAATCTTAGCAAAATTGTACTTATACATGAAAATTAAGTATATTTGAGTACTCTTTTCTATTTGAAAATTCTTTTTATAAAAAAAATCACAACTTTCTATACGTTTATAGATATTCTATTTTTTAAAAAATAGGTTGTTTCGTTTATTATAATATATTTTTATACAATATTATTGATGCACAAAATTATTTCATTTAAAAATTTTTAAAAATAGTTTTATAGATATTCCGCTGACTTATAAAAAAATTTTAAGTTTAGTATAAAGAATTATATTTTTGATAAATGTTCGTTTTGCATGAGAAGTTGTTTGAAAGAACGATAAAAATTTGGGTATTGACATTTTTTAATTATTTTTTATATGATGTTTCGAACTGAATATGAATAAAATCTAAAAAATTTTCATTAGTCTATAATGAGATAAGATCAGTCCTGAAATTAAATGGTATCAATTTAATTATTGAGATAATTAACTATTAGAATTTCTTGCAGCAGTTGTGAAATTTGGAAGAATTGAATAAATTTACCTTGAAAGTTAATTTAGAGATTTGTGTATTTTATAATTATTAATTACCTGCTAGTATATAAAGGAAATTTTGATTTAAGTATTACAGCAATTATGTTCTTATTATCGTTATTTGTTTAAATTTAATAATTTACACTTCTTATAATATTAATAAGTTTTAAATATTTATGTTAGTATTAACTGTAGCACAAGCTGAAGAAAGTCTGAATAAATGTAAATTGGGCAAGTACGGAACTAATTGTTTAGCAGGTAAACATTATTATTGCATAAATTAAAAATGGCTTTAGTAACTTTGAATCTATTATATTTAATTTAATATAGAACTTTAAATATGACAAATGTGGTTATAATTTAATTACATCACAGTATCTCAACACAAATAGTATATAATAAATGTTAAAAAAACATAATTATAATCAGCTTTTATCAGAGATATAAACTTGAGATATCTTAATTTTTCTTTTGGTTGAGGATATAATTCGTTATCAATATCATTTGTAAGTATTTCATTCAAAAGTTATACATCCAATCAGAGACCTGCAGGCCCGGCCCGGCCCAAAATATAACCGGGCCGGGCCTGAATTTTTTTTAAAATACCCAGGCTGGGACAGGCCAGGCCAGGCCGTATTTTTTTTAAAAATTTATAAAACATGAATTATTATATTCGTCAATTAGATAGGGTTAAAATGATTATATATAGTTATGATTAATATAATGTTTGGTGAAAGTTAACACTAGCTAACATTCATAGTATCTATTACATAATATAATTAAAGTTTTCCTGCCATGGAATAAATACGCTAAGGATTAAATACATTATTATATAATATCTGTTATATTTTTTATTAATTAAAATATCAGTTTTATTTTTTTTTATAAATACAATTAATATAGTATATTCTCAAAATATTATTTACACAAATTTTTTATAGTATCAATTTGTAATATACTAAATATCTGTTTAGAATAAAAAAAATAATGTGTAGTAGTGTTGTTAAACGGCTCGTTTTGAGCCGATTTTTAAAAACGGCTAACTCAGTTTTTTATCCAGAAAAATATTATGCAAGCCTGAAAATTTTGCTCATAGAAGGAGCAAAGGTCTAGACATATAATATCGAAATTTCGAGGCTTAGTCAATATTTTTCTATTTTTTTTATATAAAGTTTACTAATCAAGTGGCACAATTAACGTAAAAAATAAAATTTTATTTCAACAAATTTTAAATAATAAATATAGATTAGTAATAGCGCAATTAATAAAAATTATAAAAAGATATTATTAAAATAATATATTAAAATATTAATATTATCAAAGTTTTGTACATTACTGGGGTTAAAAGATGGGGAACATTTGCTAAATCTTGTATTGCTATAATTTTTTTTAAAATTCTTGATAAAATGTCAAACTAAAATCAATAAGTTTATTTGTGAATGAACCGCCTAGATCTTTGTTATATTTATTTATTCACAAGATTTTTCACTATCGTGTTTCTTTAGACAGATTTATTATAGATTCTTAGAATTAAAAAAAATGTAATGTATATTGATAATAAATTTATATTTCGATCATCAATATATAATCGATTTAAGCAATATAAATTAGAGAGCATAGGTCCGATATTATCCGAAAGCTCGGCCCGTGTTTAAAAATTAAAACGAGCCGGGCCGAAATTTTTTTTTTCAAAAAGATTATGACAGGCCGGGTTGGACTGGGCAAAAAACTTAACGGCTAGTCCGGGCTGTAAAATTTTTAGCTTAAATGCAATTTTGTTATATTTTATTGAATTTCAGGTCAATATTTTGATTTTGATTTACAATTTGAAAAAATAAATTACAATCTAATATATATAATCTCCATATTTTTTTGTATCCTTCATTTGTTTATTGGACAAGCATCCTTAGCACCCGGCTGTCTAAGTCTGTCGGTGTGACCAGGGCGTCATCTCTAAACTCCGAAATTCATCTTACCATATATCTATATACATCAGTCATCGAAGAAAAAACTGAAAATCTTTACTATTCCTTGCCAGAATTGAACCTGGAACCTTCGGTTTCCAAGCATACATCATAACCCACTAGGCCACCCCGGCGATATACCACCCCCCCCCCTTATTTTTATTCACCTTTTCTGGTAGTAAGCACCTTCAATATCTCTCTCCATGAATAATAAAGTGGAGAGAGATATTGAAGGAGCTTACCACCAGAAAAGGTGAAAGCTAAAAACAGATTAATGATAGGTATTGCCTTAAGGTAGTAACTATCAAATGTATATTTTTAATTTGGATAGGTACTAGCAAATTTATTTTAATATATATTTTAAAAATAGCGTTGTGGCCTAATCAGGAAGAGTTTCGCTTACCAATAATAAATTTTGGTCGATATTTAGCAAATTAGGTTGGTAATTAGAAGACCCCTATACGTTGACTTGGTAGTATCTATCTGAAAAATTTTTTTTGCAGACATAACTAGCCCGGATCAAAAACCAAGTCTCATGCAATTTTCATAAAATTTTGCCATTAATTTCGATTGTAATTTAACAACAGTCTTAAATTTAATTTTATATTCCATTTATTTCTATTGTAATTAGAATAAATTTAAATTTGTGATAGAATTTATATTGGGTGAAAAAAATGATAAGTTCAAGATGAAAAATCCTATGAGGTTGGAAAATAAGGATTTCAGGATTTCTATCTGATGTATTTGTCGAGGGAAGGTTTGAGAAAAATTTTTTAAAATTATAATGGGTCGTATGGGCTTAAATATATTTTATAAATTATATTGGACTAGGCATGGGGAAATTTTTCAAAGTTATTATCAGCTTGTATGTTTTGGAATTTTTTTGTTATTAACTATGGAATGGATCAGACATTGACCTAAACAAATTTTTGTTTGCAGACCTGGGCTCGGTCTGATCAAAAAACCAAGGCCCATAAAATAAAATCTGATATTATTTGTATTTTAAAATTCATTATGATATATTTGATTCGAGTTCTCAACTACCAAAATTATTATAATTTTTGGTTGAGGTTGGGGAAATTTTTTCAAAACTATTATGGCCTTGGACCTTGCTTGAGAATTTTCAATATTAAATATTAGGCATAGATGATCAGTAATATTTTAACAAATAATATTGATATGGGTATCAAATAAAACTTTAAATATATTTTAACTCAAAACATAGTTAAACTTAGTTTTAATGCTGAAGGTGGGAGTAGGTTTAAAGAATAAAAATTGGATATTATTTTCAAATAACAGGTAACCACTATCATAAAAGTAAGGAAAAAATTCTCATTCCCCGTCTTTTTTGACGGGCTCAGCAATGCTGACTAACGGGAGCTCTGGTACCCTTAGTTATATATTTTTCATTTTGCCTTTAAGACGGGTCATCATACTTTTCTCCCTTATTCGATAATAGATGAATCAGAAATTAAGAATATTTTATGAGGTGTGATTCACGAATTTACCTCTTTTTCGCCTAAATTTTAATATTTTTATAAAATATATTAATAAAGTATATTTAGTACCATATACACAAACTAATTACCCATCAACCCCGTCATTCTTGAGGGATTATTTACTAGTATATATATACTATTTATAAAATGACATTATATAAAAACTATATTAAAATAAAATCTAAAGAATAGAATGCATGATTGGCAAGTCGGTCAATTGACCGGAGATGTATTTGATCTGGGCAAATACTCTAAAAGAATCCAAAGAAAAAAATAATAAAAATGTGTTTGGAAAAAGAAAGACAATATAAAGATCACAATGCTGCTTATTTATTGGGTCACCAAAATCAAGGGAAGCCTTACTAGTGAATCTAATGAAGTCTGTGATATAATACAAGAATCAGGCATTTTACAAGGTGGTGATGACCACATTTTCTAGTGATATCAAAAATTTCAAAGTAAAGCCGGCATGTTTAATATCAAATTATGTGGAAAGCTGTAACTTCCATCATAAATAATCAGATTCCAGCATCAAGTTGGCGGAAATTGCTTTGCCCACAAGGCTAATTAAGAGAAGTGGCAATTTACTATTTCCTAGCTCTATTTCTTCTACAGAAAGAAATTGGTCGATAATAATCTTACTAAAACAGAAATAGAATAAAGATCTCGGCAACAGGAAAATTTATTAAAAAATATTAAATAAAATTATATTAATGAATATGAAGTAGAACAAGACTCTGCCACGGAGTGCTAAAACATTAGTTGTTGAATGACAATGAATTTAAAAAATATTATAAAATTACAGATTCATTTTACTATTATATACAAAATAAAGTTAATATTGTCTTAAAAAACATTTATTTGAATTTGATCATATTCGACCCGTCAAATATCAATCAAACTTTTCAGTTCTCACTTTTATACTGATCCCAAAAACATATATATTTTTTTGAGTGATATCATGAAATTTTCCGATTTCAATTGTTGAATCTCCCACTTACCAATTCATTTACCAATCTTCATTTAATGGTTAATATTTATTAATTTACCAATCTCAATTCAATGTGTAATATTTACTATCCATATATTTATATAATGTATCCAAAACAGTCATCTTATATATCTAAAACAATCAATATATTATCAATATAATTATATAATCATTTTGTTTCTTCGTTTAGTTTTGATATCCTTGTCCTTTCTTCCCAACAACAATTGCATCAGGTGATCTTCCCCAAAATCCTCCCCTTTCCAATCCCCATCCCCAAGGAAAAATTAAATTATTAATATCAGAAAATGTTTAGTATATTATATTAAATTTATTTCTTTTTTTTAACTGCTACAACAACTAATATTATTATTCGCATCATTTAAAACTTGGTTCAAATTATGGGCTGTACATTGTCTACATCATTCAGGCGTGCGCAAATATTCGCTTTGGAGAGGGGGGGGGGGGGTTTAAAATTTTAAAATAATTATTCTAGGAGTTGTTTAAGAGTATCTGTTTCAAAAATTTGTTGGGACTAATTACTATAAAATAGTGACAATTTTTAATATACAAATTCAAATATAAATTAATGAAAAAGATATTTTGTATATAATTGGCATATGAATAGTTATAAAATAAATGTCTCAAAAAAAAATTTTGTAAAAAAATATATACATTTTTTATTTAAAATGATATATAAATTTTAAAAAAAAAAATGTTGGAAATTACACGAAAATATTATTAAGAATTATTGTATATGGAAAATAATATGGTGTATTAAAAAATAAGGAAAATATAATTAAGAAGCATTTAATCATTAATTGTTCTTTTTATATACGTGATACGTGATATATAGCGCTTCTGCCCTCTAGCGTTGAAGGTTCAACAGAGCTACGCTATGTTTTCCTCATTTCCATCTATTTGGAATAGTTTAATTTGGGTAAGTAAAAATATGAGGAGCCCTCTACACGTTTGTGGGCAAACCGCACGTACTTGTAGGCACAACATTCCGAAAAATATTGCTTAAACCTCTATAGGCTTATTAAAAAGGAGTGGGGAAAAAAAGAGCCTATACCCGAGAACTACAGTATAATTTAATTACTTTAAAGGTGGGTGATGGCTGATTTTAGTTTAATTTCTTTAGTGTAAGTTATGATTACTATCAATATTGAAATATAATGTTCATAGAATCTGTAAATAAATATGATTAAAATAAAAAAATATTTGCCTGAATCAACCCATACAATACAGTTCTATCATTATGATCTTTGTTTTAAATTCGTTTTTTAAATAATAATAAGCAAAAAAAGAGAATCAAAAAGATAAGAAAAAAAGAAGAATATTAAATTTATAATGCGAAATTCAACTTCTTTGGGATCGAACTAATTTTTCAATGATTTCACCAGTACTTGGTGCCAACTCCATATGTATTGAGCCATTCACATTTTCAGAGATATTACTTCTCAGTGGTGTTACTAGACGGCTCGATTTGGGTCGATTATTGGTAGAAGAGTACTAATATGTAAAGTCTAAAATATATATATTGATTTTAATATATTAGGAAAATAGTTTAAAATGTGTTTAAAATTATGCAAATCATATATAGCATTTTTTGGAACTAATCAAACATATTTAACTTTTTTCACTATAGTTTGCATTCATGCGCAATGAGATACCTTAACATCCTCTGTGAAGTTCTCCTTCTACATTTGCCTAATTTCCTGAAGTTTCAAATGCTATCAGCTATTCTCATAGCCTTAATCAATTCTATGTCATTTTTTTAAAATTACTTTAATTCTGCAATGCAAAAATTTCAAATGATTTGGTTGCAAATTTTAAAATGTTAGATAAATTTAACGCGAGATAAATTGAAATCAATGTTTATTTATAGAATAAATTGATTACGCATTTATTTCTATTATGAATGTATGTGATAATGTAAATCGGAATGGTATCGGGAAAATAATTCCCCGGAAAAAAATGTGCACAGAAAATAATTCTCCTGAAAAAATTTCCTTAGAAATAAATTACCCCCCCCCCCCTTTTTCGATTTTAAAAAATATAAAGTGGAAAATAATTCCCCAGATAAAAAAGTGAAAAAAAAATAATTTTTTTTTAAATATCAAAAATAAATTGATCAAATTTTACAAAAAATTCCAAATAATTTTATAAAACTTTTTTTATATATTATACAATTTCGTTACATAAAAAATCTCTTAAGTTGAAAAAACACAATTTATAATAAAAAATTAATCCTCAAAGATTTTCTGAAGATTTTTTTAAAGCACAATAAAGTTTTAAATATGTTTAGCATATTGATTTTAACAGAAAAATGCCTCAAATCCACCTTCGTATGCTATTCAGCGAAGACCATATGGAAAATTTATTCTATCAGAATTTACCGAGATCTCTTTAGAGCTAATATATAACAACGAAACTTTTATCGCCACTCAATAAATCTGGTGGTATCTTTGATGCCTTATAATTTAGCAGCGATAGCATAAAAGTATTCAAATATTTTTTACATTTTGGAAAGAAAATATGACACCAAGTTAAGATGGAATGGCTACGATGAAAATATAACGATTACAATATATTATTTTTACAATGCTCAGATAAAGAATTATAAGATAACTATTTTATAAATGGGAATTGAGAATATGAGGAGTAAATTTATGTCAAACTAACCCTTATTATTTTCCAGCTAATTGAAAAAAATCGTATGACCAACCATTTTTAAAGGTAATTATGAAAATCCTCAATTAAAATCTACCAATTGGATATTTAATAAAAATTCTTGATGTTTTAAAAATTTGATAAAAAGAAAATTTTATTAAGAACGAATATGAAGGTATTTTTTAATTTCTTCCAGCCATTATTTTGGTAATGGCGAAATGTCGGATAATTCGCTTAATCTACATGCGCTTGCCGGAGAAAATTCGTTATCATCGTTTTAATATATAGTTTCAGTCTGGCTAAAGCTGTAAAATGATAAATTTTAATTAACGTCTACGCAATATAAAAAGATATTTTTGAGCAAAAAGGTACATTAATAAGTCGTTTATTTGGAATATTTTAAAAATAGTTGCAAGGAGAGAATAATTGAAATATGTTCCTAATATAGGAACCCTCCCTCAAAATGTTCTATTTTGGATAATTTTTTTACATTCTAGTATTGTATTGATTATCATGTAATTAAAAGTGATGAATAGATGTCAAAATTGCAATTTTTTAATAAAAAATATGTCCGATTATATTTTACCCATTTTGCCCTAATGATTGGTCATTTAACCTTGAGTATGAGATATAATTGAAGCTGGTACACTTCACATAATTAATCATAATTTATAAAATATTAAGGTAGAGAGCTACAATTTTTTAATATATATTTTGATGAGAAATTTGGCTACATATTTGTTTTAAAATTTTATGGTAAAAATGCTATATCAATTGTTTTATACACATCTCCTCTTTTTAGGATGTTTACAGTTTATTCACATCATACTTAATATCTTTACATTTTTTCCCCTTTTAAATAGAAGTAATTTTAATTTGCAATTTTTTTTTATAAAAAATTCATTTTTTTTGAACCTCTTAAATTTTCAACCTTGAAACTCTTTTACGCCATGGAATTTAGTGGACCCTTGTGTTATGCCACTAAGTTTGAATTTATGAATTATAAAAATAATCAAAAGTAAGACGAAATTTGATTGACTATATAATTATTATTTTATATTATGCACATTAATGCTAAAACCAAGATTGTGAATGCAACCCGATGGGATCAACTGGAAAGTGTAACTTTTATGGGCAATGTGATTGTCTCGATGGCTATTGGCACTATAAATGCAATAAAAGTAGAAAAAAAATTTGACTAGACTTATTTTATAATTATGAAAAAAAAAAATCTTTTATGATAAAAGAATGTGAAAAATGCCCTTCAAATAAATGTCATTTTTGGGGTGACTGTATATGTGAAGATTTTAAATATGGAAAAGATTGCGAAAAAGGTACAATTTCAAATATGTATATAAATGAAACTATAAGTTTTAATAATTTTTCAGAACGAATATATAATTGGTTAATTTTTTAGATAATGTCGTATCAGGATATTAGAGATTCGAAAATAATTTCGCAATTTTTAAATTTGATAAATCTAATTGACCGAATGTATATTCAACATATTATATAAAGTATACTTGAAAATATTTCATCGCAAAACCTTTGTAATTTTTTTAATTTATATAAAATTAATATAAAAGAAATCTTTCAAAAGTTTGCTTCTGAAAATCCCAGTGGTGGTTCTCCATAATAATGACATATAATTACCTTGACTGACGACTCATTCATAATATTGAATTTTAAAGCGTCGTTGATGCAAACTATTGAAATTATGCAGGGTCATGACCATGTGTGGGGGGAGGGGCTAAAGAAGAATTTTTTTTAGCCTCCAAACCTGGCCACTAGAAAAATCTTTAAAAACCAAATTTGAAAAAACTATTTGGTTATTAAATTTTAATTTACCATTAACGATAAAATCTAAATTAAAATACAATAAAATTTTTAGAATATATTATTTATACAAATTAATTAACAGTGAAAACCTGAGCATAATTCTTAGTTTATTATAAAGAAATCCAAGGAAATTTAATAGGAATCATTAATTAATGTTTTTCTACTGTAAGCATTACTAATGGTATTATTTTAAAGCAACTTTATGAATTAAATATTAATACAATAAGCCAGGCATATGATGCACAATCATGTCTGGTCGAAATAGAGGATAACCCTGCTTATAAAAAATTAATAAAAAAATGCTTTATATACATTGCTATACACAAGTTGCATCTTGTGGTTCAAAGTAGTATATTTTCAATTTATCTAATGTATTGTATAATTTTTTTAGGCATTTTAACTTATCCTGTAAATATACAGGCCATATACTTAAGAGACTTTTAGAGGACTGGTCATTTAGAAACATCTCGTATTATTTATAAATTTTAAGACTATTGGTGAACTATTATTTTACTTTTCTAATAGAACTTTTAATTCAGAGGTTACAACTCATGATTTAGTCGAAGCCTCTGGTAATTTACTTTATATTATCCATTTATAGGGTATTAATAAGAATAGATCCACTAAATAAGTATCTACAATCAATAGGTAGTAATAAAGGGATTAAAAATTGTATTGATACCACAATTAATATATTTTAAAATAAAAGAATAATTCTTTTGATTTGATAGGAATTTAGGCTGAGAAACTTATATCAAAATTTAATCTCATCCCTCAAAATCAAGGGTAAGTAAAACGCCTACAAATTTTCAAGATTTTTTAGTCGATACCAAATTTCAATTTGATTGTGAAAAGGATTTCAATTAGAGTTCTTTAAAAATAAAATTATTGATTATTTTGTAGATTGATTTTTAGATAGATTTACACAAAATGATTATAATCTTTATCATGTTCAAATACATTGCCCCCCCCCCTGACCCTGATTATTATATATCCGACAAAATGGTCCTATTAGAATTATTATTAGACTTAAATATGGAAACGTTGTATCATGAAATGAAAATGGCAAAAGGATTATTAGCTGCAGAAGGTAAGAAACGCATAATTTTGAAAATATCCTAAATATTTTTTATAAAAAAAATATCATCTTGCAATTAAAAAATTATATAAATGCCACTCAGCTGCCATCATCATTGGGGCATCAACGGCTTCTTGTGAGGCGTCATTCTCTACACTAAAGAGAGTTCTATCGAGCACTATGAAATAGATAAAGATAGATGTAAACAAAATTTAATATTAATGGCCTATGGGAAAAAAATATTACAGAGTTTAGCTTTTAATTCATTTTTGTTAAAATTTAAACAAAAAATCGTCGTTTACAAATTTACCTTGAAATCTTATCTTATCTTATCTAGCACGTTGGTCATAGACCTGCCCAAAATGAGCGAACGTGAATTTTATGAAGGCTCACCTTTCGTAAAATTATGCCGATTTTTTTCTCAAGGATACCAACAAACCATTGTAATTGTAATTTATAAATTAATAATATAAAGACATATATTTCTTATTTGTTTTTTTAATCTTGAATAGTTATATTCATGATAAGGAATGAGTTAAGAATATTTGAATCCATAGATATCAAAATTCCATTTCATTTGTTAGGTTATATTCTTCCAAAAGATAAACCGGAAAATCTTCGCCATTTGGGATGGATAGATCATTTACCTTGAAATAATTATGAGTAGGACATTATTTTACTCAGGGCTGAGAACCCTTCTCCTAAATAAAGGGTTCAGGTTTGTGTTAAGGTCCAGGGAAATATTTTTGAATCAGGTTAGGATTTGGGTAGGTGGGTTCAGGGTTCCTGGTCCAGTAAAATAAAGATTTATAAAATTAGTAAAAGTAAGAAACATTTTTTTTTTATAAATATAATTTTTTTTACCATAAAAATAATTTGTTATTATAATTAGAAAATAAGCGAATTACATTATATCTCCCAAAATAGAGATGTTAAAATAAAAATCTCTATTTTTTGTGTCTAACTTTGACGATATACTCCAGCTTACATTTAATATTTGGTGATTATGTTCTTTTCTTCGGTCTTACATTTAATTTAGTATTCCAACATAAAATAAATAAATTTTCAAAATATATATTAATTATTATATTATACATTATTTATTATAAAAAAAGTTACAAAATATGCCGGTAAAACTTTTTCATAAAATGGAGTACTCTAAGATTTAATATAAAAAGTATCCAACCAAAATAATTTACGCCAAAAAATTGTGTTTTTTTATGTTTTAAATAATTTGCATGCTTTTATATATTTTAATTTTAATAGTTTTATTTATGTTATTTTTAATATCCTCAACCCATAAATGCTGGAATACATTTTCGGTCAGATAAAATTTTTCGAATTAAAAAATCACCCTAAACAATTAATTTAAAATAATAGATTCCTAATCCATATGGATTCAACTCTCCCCAATACGACATTATGTATATTTAAAAAATTTTCTAATCATTTTTAAAATTTATAAAATTTTGCTAAATTTATTAGATTGCTAAATATAAAATTGATTCTTATATTTGATTAAAACATTCCACCAAACACAAATCGAGAATCGAATGACAATATTCATCGTAATTTTTTGATATAATTTTTTCAAATATACTTATAAGACTGCAAATGCGATATTCGCACTTCATCTGGGTGTGATCATGCAGGCAAATGTTTATGCAAGGTTATCCCTGACAACAATCAAACGTTAACTCTGAGTAATATTATACATTTGATCTTATATTTTAAAAAAATATTCAATATGTGCAAATTTTCCATTAAATTTAAAAACTTTTATGGATAAAAAAATCATATTTATTCAAACATTAAGTTAAGTAATAAATAATATTATCTTTATTGTTAAGGTGAGCAGGGAGTTGTCAAATAGAATATTTATTAATTAAATTTATCTAAAAATATCACTCTACAACTATAAATTATATGATTATATATACTTTTACAATCAATCAAATTCTTAATCTTGTGTCATGTGAATGAAATAATATAATATAATTGTGTTAAATGTTTAATATGTTAATAACGAATGAATGAAACATATAACAATTTGCTACACAACAACCTAGTATAATTAAAATAATATAAATATAAATCCATAAATATAAATCCATATTTAACATTTCACACTCCAAAGGAATCCTTCCTAGGTTCTCCTTGGGGAAAAAAGTTCTAAGTCTTTGATCTTGTGCGTTTGTTGTTCAATCTTTGCAAAACGGTTTCGTTTGACATTGACTTTGTCATCCTTCTGTAAATTATTATCATTGTTTGTTATTATTTAATACATGCTAAGATTTACAGTATATGAATGATTTTAGAATGTAGGAATTTTGAATAACGTCGGAATAGAATAAGAATCGTCGATTTATCGAAATAGAATTAATTTAACGAATATTGAATTTGATTAAGAATAATTGAAGCAGAATAAATTTATCAAATATTGAATAATAAAATAAATAATTGGTCGGGTTTTATTTTTTTTATATTATATATATTGCGTTTTAAATAATAGCGTTTTATGTTTATCTCAATTTCGCGTTTTATAAATAGATATTATTTTATATTTATTTTTTAATTCCGCGTTTTTATAATACATCATTTTATGTTTATTATTATGCGTTTTTTTTAAAAATCAATATTATATTATATGTATTTTTTTAATAAAAGATGATATATAAATTTTATATTATATGTATTTTTAATAAAAGATGATATGTACGTCTGTACATCCATCTATCTCTTTAGAGATTTAAACTTTGTGCCTTTGTTTTTTAAAGCAAATAATAACTCAAAACTATTGTTTTCTTTTAGCTTCAATGAAAATATATTTTAAAGTAGTTGTTATTACTTACATATGTTTTGTCCTTTAAACATGATTTAGATTCCATTGTTTTTAAATTAAAAATTTGGAAAATTCGTCCACTTTATCATTAATTATATAAGGTAAATGTTTTTTTTGTATTGTCTATTCTCTTGATATTTTTATATTTGTAAGTGTCAAGCTTTAACTGTGATTTGAATTCTATTTTTTTTTTAATTTTATATATGGGAATTCTACTTCATTTTCACTAATTTTTTACTAAGAATCATTATTTTTACAGTCATAATACTCTTTTAAAATTTCACCATGTGATCTTATGGGTATATTTATAATATTATCATTTTTAACTTTAGATACTAAAAAATTTTTAAATGATATTATGTCAACAAAAATTTCCTTTAATTTATATGTATTAATTTTATGTTTATCAATATTTTTATTTATAAGATTTATATCATTGTTTTTATAAATTAAATTGAGCCTTTTTAGCAAAGCATCTGGAGATTGAAACTCTTCATCTGTCGATATGGCTCTAACTAAGTTAAAGATGTTATCAGGTAAATTAATAGTTAATAGCATAGCCTCACATCTACTGTTGAGTTTACTGTCTTTAAAAAAATTCTCAGCCTTAGAATATAAGATTGCATATCGCCGCTATATTCCGGAATAGATAATTTCATAATATTTATGTGTTTATTTTTTTACAATATCTTTATTTTATAAATATTTTATTTTTTTTTACTTTATATATCCAATCTGATATGATAATTAGAATTCAATGAATATAATATTTTAGAATCCTCTTAAAATTAGTTTGATCATAATCGTTTCCATTTGTAAAAAATTTTAATTAATTTACATTTTATATAAATTTTTTTTAAATAATATTTATGTGTTTATTTTTTTATAATATCTTTATTTTATAAATATTTTTTTTACTTTATATATCCAATCTGATATGATAATTAGAATTCAATGAATATAATCTTTTAGAATCCTCTATAGTTTAATTTGATCATAATCATTTCCATTTAGTTTAACAATTTTCCTGCCCATAGTTGATTCATCCATTTGATCATATTCATTTCCATTTGGTATAACGATTCCAGTGTCATAATCTAATCATTATTTATTGAAAAAAAAAATTAAAAGATTTTAAAATTATAATTTCCGCTGCCACCATGTTAAGTTAGGCAAGGAATTGGGTATAAATGGAAATTAAATTTTATTAAAAATAATACAAAATTGCAATCTTCTTTTTTGTCTAATAAAATAGCTATATATATATGTATTTTTTTAAATTAAGTGTTAATTATTTAATATATTAATAGATAATTATTTTATAAAATACAACGAATAAATGAAATAAATTGCAATTTATGCTACACAACACCTAGTATAAATAAAATAATTATAAATATAAAAGTTTGAGATTTCTTTTTATTGATAATTTATCTAATCAAATTTGGTAAATGACTTGATGTGATTCTTTATTCAATCAAATAAACTATTTATACAAATAATATTGATCATAATTAATCCGATTACAACATTATAATAATACAATCATAAACTTCCAATATAAACATCCTCATCCCATTCCATAATCCCCAGAAATCATTCTAGAACTTTCTTCCATCCCCAAAACATATGGTGTGAATTTATTGTTCTTGTCTGTCAATCCCCGTGTTTGGTGAGCTAATCACTACAGTAAAATTATACTTTTGAAAAATGAACATTTCACTTGCAGCTAACATGTCATATTTTGCAATAGGAAGTAATATTGGCAAAATTTATGAATGATAAAATCAATTACATATTTTCAGATATTATGCTTTTTAAATAAAATGATAACGACTATATATATTTTTTAATTAAACTGATTTTTTTTTAATTTAAAAAATGAACCATTTATTCTCTACAAGGTAAAGTGTAAAGTAACATCTGAAACATAAATTACTATAACACCCATTCCAGAAAAACTGTAGAATTTATTAAAATATTAAAATACTCATAATAATTTTACTCCCTTAATTAGTATCTACTTTGGGTAATTCTAAAAATTCCTTCTTAAAATTTTTAAATATAAGGTAGAAATTTTTTTCATAATATTAGAGTAGACATGAAGAGCTTCTATATTCGATAAAAACTTATTATATTAAGAAATGATTATATAATATTCCTTTTTTGCAATTTGAAATGTAATTTATTTGAAATTTTTTATTTTAATTTATATTAAATATTTTGCTATTTATAATAATAATTCTGTATGCAATAATATAATCATGCTCCGTAAAACGATGATAAGATATTTCTAAACTTTACTTAATATATTATTTTTTATTTATAATGTTTGCATTACTATAGGAAATTTTCAATAGGTGTTATTATTTACATAATTATCAGAATTTTAAGTTGTTAGTAAAGAATAATAATTAGCGATACGATAAAAATCGATTTGCAAAAAGTTTCGATTCACTTTTTTTGAAAATTTCTTATGAGTATTTAATGTATAGCCCCCCCCCCCCAATAATTTATCCTACCCCTAGCCTATTATTTATATTTTAAATACATTTATTCAAAGTTTTTTTATTTATATTCAAATACTTTTTTTAAAAGTGCAATTGTATCTATATTCGAATTCACATTTTTAAAAATTCAACTCTACATACAATTATATTATCTTTGTGATTCACCTTTCTTCCAAAGTGCTCTTCTTTATTTGAAAAGTATTATTTATTTGTTTATAGAGAGTTTATGTTTGGAGAACCAATTTTGTGATACTGATGGAAGTTGTAGATGCAAAGGTTGGAAATATAGACCTAAATGTGATCGAGGTTTTTATCCTAATAAAAATAAATATTTTTTCATTTAAAAAAAACAATAAAATAGAGTGCTCTTGTAATAAAAACAATTCGAAGTTACCATGTGATTACGAAGGAAGATGTACATGCAAAATGGGTTATTATGGCCAAAAATGCTATTCAGGTATATATTTACTATTTGAAACAAATCGAAAGAACAGCTTTTTTAAATTTTAATATTTTTTAAAAAATTAAAATATCTCTACATATAATAGAATGCCCAAATGATTGTCAAAATTCCTTCTCACATAATAGTTGCAGCTTAGATGATGGAAGATGCTTGTGTAGAGATAACTATTATGGATTGAAATGCGAAAAGAGTAATAAATTTAACTATTTGTATATTTATATAACTTACTTTGAATATAAAATCTAGTGTGTAATTGTGAAAAAGGTGATTTTTGTGACATGACATCAGGGAAATGCCGAAATTTAGAAGAAATAGTAAATATTAACATAGTGACATATCCAGAATTTGATTCTGAAATTCTTTCGAAGGCTGCTCTAGGTGGGTTTTAATCAAGCCCCACTCTTTGGTTTATATTTTTTTAACCCTCCCGACCGCTCATATATGGTTTTGAAAAATAAACCCACCCGCCGCCCGCCCATTATTTATTTTTTTAACCCGCTCGCCGTTTTTTTTAAATTTTTAACGATCTAATAAAAAAAATTGTTTCATATATACCTTTAAAAATATTTTGTAATTTGAGAAAATACAGTGACAATTTTATTAATCATGTCACAACACTGTAAGAACATAGAGAACCAGCATACATTATATAAATGCTTTCTAATATTTTATACTTTATTTTTAATCTTATGTCTATATTTTATTCTATGATTTTGCCTAGATGTTTCATTTCCATTTTTTTAAAATATTTAGTCATTCATCAACGATTTTGCAGTTGACAAAATATTGCTTACCTGGAGTGTATTTTTCAAAATAAAATTTTAAATGTATTGCTTAGAATTAGGTTCAACATATGAGCTGAACAATTTAGTCTAATATATTCAGTATTTTAAAAATAAAATATTTATGTAAATATTTTTTATTTAGAACTCAAAAATCAAGATGAGTTTTATAAAAATTTACACTTCCAACGTCTTTTTATATTAGCTCCTTGATCTGTCACAAATACAATAAAAGATATACTGTATTATGTATACAATTATATTGCCAAATAAATAACATGAAATTTAATTTCTAAGAAATTTTTATTTATTGAATAACATTATATTTATTAGAATAGATTTTATCTTAAAAAGATTTTGTAGATATGGGTAAACGATGACAAAAACATTGTATATAATATTTAAAAAAAATTGTATAATCATGGATGTATATTTAAAATTATATTATACCAAATAAGAAAAATGGAAAAGATTTTAATTTCTTTCTTTAAAAAATAAACTGCCCTCCTCCTGTCCCATTATGTAATAATTACTTTTAACCCGCTGGCCAGTCCCCTTAAAATTTATTGGCCCGCCCGCCCATGGATCAAAACCCACCATTGTAAACCTTTATTCTAGTCCATTTATTTAATGAAAAATATAATCGCGCTATGTTTTCCATGCCAATCAAATGCTGAAATCAAAATAATTGAAAATTATCAAGTTTTTTAATAATTGAGTTTTAGTCGCTAAAAGAGTGGAGCAAGTCAGGGTAGGATGAAACACAAATCAGGGAACATTGAATTAGTCTTTAATATAAAATTATTTTGCACCAATAATATATATTTAATAACAAATATATTGAATTTAAAAGATAGCTAAATATTTTCTACTTATAATATTTTTTATGTTGAAAATCGATTATTTTAAAATTAAAAAATTATTAAGATAATTGCTTCCCCCATCCCTCCCCTGGATACGCGATAAATAACTTATTTTCAAGTTTAAAACTATCTTTTCTACACATATATAAAAATTGGATCATCATAATTTATATAATTTATAATTAAATAATAATACAGGATTATCTTTCGACCTAACTATATTGTCAACCTCTAATTACTCGTGGCACGATGAGTCACGGTGGGTCATGGCAGTAGCGTCACTAGGGGGTGGGGCTCGAGCCCCCTGAAAAATTTGAAAAGCCTTCTCAAAATTTTAATTTTTTTATGTTAGCTAAAAAATGGTAATTTTGAAAATAATTTTAAAAAATTTCTCACCTGAGATTGTAAAGGTTAAGGAAGTCTCTGGGCCACGGCATAAGCGTAAATAAATGTTACATTATTAGGCGCTGCAGGACGTGCTAGCCTTCCTAAACATTTTTACCGGACGTGAACATAAATTTCCCATGAATAACGGAAATTTAAATTATTTTATATAATTTTTTTATGAATAAAATATTGCAATTTTAAAATTATAAATTAATATATATGTCGTATTGCGATATGGAATCTACAGGAATTTATGATCTCTTAGTCTGAATCATTTGCTGAAGGCGGTTTTTAAATTTGAAAAATCTGATTTGACCGTTTATTCCAGAACGTTTGAGTACCCTAACTGTAAAGTTCAGACAATTTTGCAAACTTTTGAACCACTCTTAATTTATATCCATTTATATAAAGGATTAATACCCCAAATTTAGGTTTTCCAAATTTAAAAATTGCCATCAATAAAAGATATAAAATTGAGATTCCGAATACCTATGAATTTCATATCCCAATAAGATATATTTCCTAATATAAATTATCCCTTTTTGAAAAACAGATAATTTTTGAAAACTAAAAACTTACCACATTTTATAAACAACATTTTTTCCCCGTCAAATTATAAAATTTCAAATTGCGTGAAATATGATATTTGCAGATGATATTGTGATACTTGCCGAATCTAAGGATGAAATGAAAGAAAGATTAGTGAGTTGGATAAATATCCTAGAAACGCACGGATTAAAAGTAAATAGAGATAAGACGGAGTATATGGTGATAGGAGAAGATGAAACAGAGAGTATTGATATAAATGAATGGCAGATATCGGCAATTGAAAGCTGCAAATATTGGGGCTCACTATACAAACAAACGGCACAATAGAAAAAGAGATAAAGAGTAAGATTAATCAAGGGTGGTTAAAGTGGAGATCTTTATCTGGAGTGCTATTTGACAAAAGAATCCCACACAAATTAAAGAGAAAAATTTACAGTTCCATAGTACAACCAACTATTCTATATAGTTCGGAAACATGGCCAACCAAAGAATCAGAGGAGAGAAGTTTACAAACTATGGAGATGAGAATGCTGAGGATGATTGCTGGGGTAACAAGAAAGGATAAAGTGCGCAGTACAAGAATACTAAGTAGTTTAAAGGTAGTGCCCATTAAGACTAAGTTAATGGTAAACAGACCTAGGTGGTATGGGCAATGAGAAGGCCTACGAACTACTTAGGAAATAAAGTTGAGAGTTTGGAAGTGATGGGCAAACGTAAAGAAGGAAGGCCAAAACTTCAATGGGGCCATAAAGTTAGAGTCAATATAAAGAAGTATAAATTAGATAAAAGAGATTGTATGAATAACATAAAGTGGAGAGAGATGTTGAAGGAGCTTACCACCAGAAAAGGTGAAAGCTAAAGAGAAAAAAAAAATTGAATGAGAAATATTTCAAAGTCTCTCAACTCTTGTCTAACAGTACAAATTTGTTAATAAATAAATAAATTTTATTTTCATTTATCTTTACTATATATTAATAATAATTTACACTTAAATTAGATGTCATTCATTAAAAATCCTTAATAACTTATTTGTTTAAATATTCTTTTATTTACCTACAAATATGAAAGAGTCTTGAATATTTTTAATTAAATTTTTCACTTGTATAGAAATATTTTTAGAATCTAACATCCCACGAAAACTTTCTTTTGATGGCTGAAATTAACAAAATAAACAAATATTCAAAGTTAAAAATTTATATAAGTTCCAGTTGTTGAAACAACTCTTGGAAAACTTCGTCACGAGGTATTTTTCTTGAAGAAGATAGATAGAAAAGTTACCCAATTCACTAGGGATCCTAAAGTATATTTCAACTTTCGTCAGAACATAGGTTTAGAAATTACCGTTCCAATTTTTTATCGATTCCCTATCTGCCGTTTTTATCTTATGTATTTATAGCCTTTTTAGCAGTCATATAGTTTTTATATGTTTTTCATGTTTGAAAATATTATTATAAATTTTAATTAAAAAATACAACAAATTGAAATAAAAATATATAGGGTGAAAAAGTATAAGGTAATTTAAAATAAATAATAAGACAAAGACTTTAATAATAGATAATTATTATTTTATATGTATATAACATTTAACATGCAAACTTAAAAAGTTTAATAGCCTGTAATTTAAAATTTTTTCTCTTATTATGTGCAAATTTAAGGTAGTCTAGATTTTAAAATTAAATTTTTATTATAAATTCTTTTAAATTTAACCGTATTATTTTATAATAAGAAACTTTAATACCTATAAATAATCATTCATTGCTATATTATATTTAAATTAAATTATAAATCAGTCTAAGAAAAATTTAATTTTTCTTGCTGCTATTTGTAATTATAATTCAATTATATTTAATAATTCTTTCTTTCTTTAATTATTAAGGTATACATGTGTCTTAGAAAATAAAAAAATTATTCTAATCAGACCATAAAATATGTTTAAGAAACAATTGTCCCACAAATCAAAAGCAGTTTTTGAGAAAAGTCAGCTTTATTTTATTTCTAAAGATCTTCGACCTCTAAATGCAACACTTAGACCAACTTAAGAAAAGATTTACCACTGACGAAGTATTAATTCATGACCCAAATACTTTACCAACGATTACATTTTACAAGGAGAGAAATGTTACTCAACAAGATAAAGATTGTACAGCTGACATTACGAGGTCTAACCGGAATAGAACATTACCCGCACGATATCAAGATTATATTTTGAACATAAAATATTCACATACAAGAAGAATTTGAGGGGAGTTTGTTTCTTAAGGGGTGAAATGTTGTGATGTAATTGATCTATTAATTTACCGCGATCTATTAAATAAATTATTGATTTTTTTTATTCTTTATTTTATATTAACTTTAATCTCGCGGACTCGTTTTATAAAATTAACTCAATAATTCGACATAAATTACTTGATAGATTTTGTAAACTATATAAACTTAGAAAATTATTGTACTTATCAGTTTTAAATATATTTTAAAATAAAATTATTAAATAAAATTAAGTATCTGTTTTTTCTCATTTTTTGCCAACCGATGCAGAAAAGGTAGACATATTTACAAACATTATAAATGTTAAATGTTTTCAAATTCGATGATCTACAACTAGTGAAAGTTGTGAAGATGAATAAAAAGATCCATCAGACATAAACAAATAACATAAAATATTTTGAAGTTTTGGAAACAGGAAACAAAAAAATTCCTTTCCCTTCCGAAGAAAAGTAGCCATTAAAATTATCAGCTTCGGCAAGTTTGACTTCCAGTGAAAGGTTATTTTTTAAAGCCAAACACTTATTAGCGGAGAGAGGAACATATTTAAAATAAAAATATTCGTTTGATATTTAGTTTTAAAGGGAGACAAAATAAAGAAAAAATTGTATTATTCGTCGAATAATTTTTTATTTGATCGAATTATTCGATTAAGATAATTTCTAATAGTATTAATAAATATTGAAAAATATTCATATATTATTAGTAAGAATTATTTTAAATTATTCCTATTTAAATTTCCTAGTGGAATAATGAAGAAACATTTTATATTTCTAAAAATGTTGTTAACTGCTGTTTTTATTCAAATAATTCATAATAAAAAATTTACTTCCGAAAATTGTTTTACAATGTACGAAGAAAGTATAATAAGCTACTAGCTATCCCGTCAAGAATGACGGGCGAACCAGATATTTCTCCTTCATTTTATGATGGAGAAATCATAAATTTGACTTTTAGCCTAAAATTTTTACCTTTTTATTTGTAAAATATTGCTAGATGTGAGTTTTGCATACCTTATTTTAGATTGCATAACTTTTTGACGACATCTCTCATCAAGAAAAAAATAAATTTTTGGTTCACTCATAAGATAGGCAAATTTCTATTTATCCATCATTAAAGGAAGGAGAAATATCTGATTTACCAATCATTCCACGGTTAACTAATGAATATTACACAACACTATTTCAAGTTTATAAATATTTAAAAAGATTATTACTTTGACTTATATTTTATATTATTATAGTTTATGTTAATAATATTAACAATAATTAAATGTCAATGTATATGTTTATTCTAAAATTAAAAACATGCTTTTTAATAAATAGATAAAAAATACATCATTAAATGGGGATAATTTTAAATAATTTGAAGAAAATGTTCGATGATTATAAAATAAAATATGATGTATGAAATCAGACAACCATTAATACAATCAAATATGGACGTAATTTTTAAACAGAATGTCTTGTCATTATCTATAGTTGAAACATATTTGAAAGAAGCGAGAATCACGAATAAAGGCCCACTAGAATGGTTGAAACTACACGGATATCCTTTCCCGTTTTATCTAAAATGGCGAGAGACATTATCAATACAAGGATATTCAACACCATGTGAGCGGAGCGCATATAGTTACCAAATATAGAATGTCGTTAAAAGAGGATACAATCTGAAAAACTTTGTGTTTAAAAATAAATACTAAAAAGCATCACATTATAGCTATATATAAAAAAAATTACTAACAAAAATAAATTTAAAAAAAACATAATTGTATACCTATAAAAAAAAAATTTAATTGTATGTTCTGCCTAAGGAATAAGAATAATAAGAATTCCTTAGGTTCAGTGCAATTTAATTTTTTGAGCTAAATTTAAAAATTGGAAGTTGATAGGAACAAACTGTCCGTTGGTAGAAGTTGCAATTGACGAGAATATAAAATTGCCGAGGTTTTCTCCTAGAGTAAGCAGGTTACTATTCAATTAGTGGGGAAAGATGAGACGCATGTATAATTCCCCAAAATTTTTTTTACCCATGACCCAAAGGATAGTGGCCAGACCATTAGGACTTAGGCCATTATCTGTTGAAATTGCAAGATTCTAGAAGATTAAATTTACTAGTCTTTTTAAAAGGAGTCTTAATAATTTGATCAATAGTTTTCAAGTTATTAAACAGAAACCAGTTATAAACAAAATAAAAACTACAAAGGCGCCTTAGGTTGTGCTTTAAATATCGATATTTAAATTGTGAAACAAAAATCAATAACGTCTCTTTTTCCTCAATTGAATTTCGATATACATATTTATTCTTTTCGGTTTATTTAACAGATGTAGAATTTAAATAGTTAAAATTTCCTTATATATATCGAGTTATATTTTTAAAAATATTTTCTCAGTAAAATAACAAAGTTATTAATATATTAATTTCATAAGTAAAATGATAATATGTTTTCAGCGTCTATATTGAAAGAAGAAAATTTGGAGACAATATGCCTGAATTTACGCCCCCCCCCCTCAACCTAAAAATATTTTTTATTCCATGTCCTTCTGGGAGCCTCCTTCAATAATGAAAGCATTTGTCTTCAAACCCCCCCCCCCCAGTCACGTAAACACTGTAAGTATATTAGGGTTCAGTATTAATTTTTTAGCAAATATATAGATTTGCCAGGATATATTTTTTCCAGTGTTCTAATTGATTTGTCAATAAACCTTATTTTTTTCTTTATTTTAATTGTATTACTAGTAAAATAAATATATTATTAAGGCTGATAATAAAATAAATTCATTATTAAAATTAATAAATCTGAGGGAATATTTTACAATAAATTCCTTCAATAGCCAATCTAACATGATATCCCGAATAAATATAAATACAAATAGATATAAAATGTATATATATCAAAAAGCTAATTATTCATATAACCTTTTCCAAAATTAATTAAGAATTTGTTCCGAAATATAAAGTTTGTAGAGCGGGGAGGGAGGGATACGGGGCGCCATTTTGTAAGCTCTGTTTTCCAGGAATTAGCATAGAACGATGGAATGATGAGATAATTACTAATTATATCTAAATATTTAAATTTTTATCATAAAAATATAATTGTTATAATATGAATTTTAAAATATGGTCAAGTTGGCTTAGTTGATATTAGTTTATTTTAAATATAAATATTAAATATCAATAAATTATAGCGATTGAATTTTATAAATTATATATTATTATTCTTATTATTTTTAATATAATTTAAGATTAAAAGTTTAAACTATATTTATTTTATAAGAATATATTGAATTAAAAATTAATTAATAGAGTATATAAATAATTTATACGTGCACTATTTGCAGTTTACTTAGCATTTATAGTTAACATATATTAAACTTACCCCGTATCTCTCTAACTTATAAACCTTATTTTAGCCTCGCCAGGAGGTTGTCCTCCGGAAAAATTCTCTCAGGATGCCCATAAAAGTAAAGTTAGTACCAAAGGACCACTTTATATTTAATTTAGGTGTAATTTAAACCATAATGATTATTTTCACTAAATAAATTATCTTTTTAATTATCTAAGTTTTATTTTTTAACCGATCAATTTTGTATTTAACACAGATATTCTATTATTTATGACTAAATATCAATTTAATACTGGTAAAAAGGGGGAAAAAATATACTGATAAAAAAAATACTAAATATTTCGTTAAAATATTGAAGGTTTTAATTATTCGCCTATATAAAATATTACTTCTAATAAAGAAATGTTAACGCTTCAACATTTATATATGAATGAGTTAATTGAAATTATTATATTTATTTTATAATAGGTTAAAGGAATGAAGAATTATGGTATTTTGTAGAAAATTGGAATTTATAAAATATTATATCTATGTTAAAAATTTCATATATATCCTAATTACTTATTAATGCTTATTCAAATTATTAAAATATATCATAACAATTGTTTATCAATTTTTTTCAAATTATTTGCTATTATATGCTTATTTTAGACTAACTTAAATTTGTTCAAAATTATATTATTTTCATAATTGTTTAAACTTACAATAGTAATAAATTCAGAATAAAACTGGCATTTTTATTGTTTTTATAAGGATTGTTAACTAAGAGAGATAATACAAGCTTGTGTTGATATTTTTAGATTTAGAATATAAATAAGTACGTGTAAAAAGTGTTCACTCTGAAAAAATACAATAGTAAACCAGAATCGCCATATCCCTTTTGCAAGTCTTGACAGTCTTTTCCCTGGTCGTTTGGTTTACATTAAGGAGTGCATCCTTTTGTTTTATATCACATTGGGCTCAGACTAGGTCCCAGACTCCCTTCTGCAAGAAGGCTTTTTGTTCGTATAAACTAAGTTAGCGCGATACTCTTCTTGGGAAAAGTTAGAAAAACCAAGCTAATATATTACAATGAATCTTAGCTCTAAGACTTTTCAACAGTTTTAATGTTTTTTTACCCAAATTTTTAAGCTTAAAAAATTGAAAAGTTAAGAAGATAAAAATAATTTTTCAAAAAAATCGTGATTTCATCGTGCAAGATTTTTATGCTTATAAATTACAAAAGAATAACTTATAAAAGATTTGGAATTTTACATAAAATTTGATTAAAAAACTTCATTGAGCATTCTAAAAAAAATCTTTGTTAGAAAATCTTCAGTGGTCAATATCTTTGAAGATTTTTTATTTTGAAGGGCATTCCAAACTCTGTGACAACAATATTTTATTTTACAGGTTATAAAATCAAGTTTATAAGTTAAAGTGAGTTTGAAACCTAACTAAATCATTGTTTAATCAAATAGGTATATGATTAGCAATGCTAACTTTCGTCAAAAATTTTAATAATTTTAATTTTACTTTTTTGCAATACTAACAATCGTAATCCTATTAAATATAAGTTTTCAATATATCGACCACAAGTAAACTAACTAGGAATGAGTGGCTGGACTACAAGAACAAGGAATAGTAAATAATACAAAAACCTATAATAGAAATAGAAGGCAGTACTTGGCCCGTAAGACGAAATAAAATCAGGCATGAAAAATAATAAGTCTCATAATGCTAAAAGAAGACAACTTTAAAAGTAACACACATTAAAATTAAAAAAGGTGAAACGCGCTTACAACCGTTTTAAAATATGATTCCCTATTATCACGATCAAAAAGTGATGATCCTGTATACCCTTATTCTTAAAAATTGAGATCTTGAAGGGATATTTTTAAATCCCATGATCATCCCGGATAGTTCTAATCCCTTTAAAAATTACTAAATATATTATAGATTTATCATGTGTTGTTAGATTTTTATAAAATAAATAGTGTTCACAAATATAAACAAAACCTTCTTTTACATTAGCTAAAAAAAATAAATCTTACACTAATCTTTAAACTAACTTATTGTACTGTTTAGGACCATCACATAGCCACGAGAAGTTCAAACAAAATAGTTTTCGTTTATTTTATTATCAATATCTTTAAATATATTAGAAAAAAATATGATATAGATAACTTCGCTTTATCCTGAACCATTTTAAAAATTATTTTACCAAATATTTATCCTGTAAAATTCTGAAGACATTTTAAGTTAAATAGCATAACCGAAGAATCAAAAGTATAATTATATTTTATATAAGCTGTAATGATTAGCTATCTAATTTTGGGAATAGTTTGATATATTATCCATTGAAAGATTCTAGAATCAATATGTTTTGATAAATTATATGTTTATATGTTCACTTATCCTTCTAATAATGGAAAGGTTTTTCAGGTTGAATCTTCAAAATATAAAATAAATGCATTGTATATGTTATAATGTGGGTCGTTTTTTGTGTTTAATTGTAAATTCATTTAATTTTGGTGGTGAATATTGTTTTGATTATCTTGCGCAATCATTATTATTTATAAAAGAAATAAAAAAGAGTAATTATAAAAATTGTTTATGTCACATGTTTTTAAATTAATTATATTATTAATCAATTTATATTTATTTGTAATAGATATAAAAAAAGGAAACAAAATAAATCATTATTATTTTTGTTTCCAAAATTTATTCTTTTCTTCTTCCAAATTTATTTTGAGTATAGATAATTATTATGTTTTGTCTCAAAAAACTTGTAGAAAAGAAAACACATAAAAAAAGAAAAAAGTAAAAGGGAAAAACAACGAAAAAGAAAAAGAAAACAATGGTAAAAACTATGTGTTAATCTTCTAAATTATTGTACCACAAATAAAGTGGTGTGGTAGCCAATACAGTTTTAGAATTTAATAAAAGTTAGTTTATTTATAATCTTTATGTCAGACGTTTCAATTAAGAGTTAGTTAAACGTTGTATTGGATAATCCAGGTGTCGGACGTTTTTATTAAGAGATAGTTATGCGTTGTATTGAATAATCCGTGTGTCGGACGTTTCAATTAAAGCGTTGTATTGAATAATCCGTATGTCGGGCGTTTCAATTAAGAATTATCTACAAGATGGAACTCTTTCTATAACTTCATAAAATTAATATGGTCTTATTAAAGAGAATGGCCACAAATTTGACGATCATGTGATAAATTAAAATTACAGAGATTTTCAGAAAATGAATCGTTAATAAATAAATTTTGTATGGTTATATATATAATTTACCTGTTCCTACTGCTCTTTCGATTTTAGAGAGAAAAAAAAATGCATTTGGGAAATCTCAACCACAATAACTATTATAATATTTAAAAAATGGCTTTAAATAATTACATTTTGTAAGCCTCTTATTAAGGCAATTCTGCAAGACTAAGGTAAAAGGAAAGATATACAGTTGAAGTAATGTTCACAATTTATATTTTTATTTTATTTCAATTTTATATATATTATCAGCAATAATTCACCTGCTATTTAAATCAAATTGACCCTCGTAAAGCTAGATGTCAGCTAAGGAAGGAAGCTTGAACTGATCTCTTGTTTGAGAAAAAATTTTAACAAAGAAAAGGCAGACTTGATTCTTATAAAAACAACACACGTATATAAAAAAGAACTGTTAATAAAAATAAAAATGTAATCTTTTTTATTAATTTAATAATCGAAATTATATAAAATAATTAGAATAACATGTAAACTGCTTATATTATAACATATTTTAAAAAAAATAATTAAATTTTGTTATAAATAGTCATCCCCTGAAGAAGGCCATTTAAATATTTTATTATAATGTAATATTTCGAAGAGATTGTTGTTTTACGGCTCTTATGACTAATTAATTTGATTAAGGATTTAGCCTTTTTCTCAAATGAGCAGTTTGATGAAACTACAATGGGTAAAAATATATTGTTGTCGGCAAGATGTAAATATTTTTGGCCTTTTTTTGAACCTAATGGATCGTAATTATTAATTGATGGGGCAAAAAAGGTCTATACTTATGAAGTCCCAATGCATGTGTTTCCCTAAATCCCAGGAGATTAATATATATCCATCAGGCCGCTAGTCATTAATAACAGTATCCTGTGGTTCGAGATGTGAAGGAACATCGGCTTGGAATAATGAATCTTGAATTATATTAGTTCTTTTGTGCCTTACATATTTGTATAGGTTCACGAGACATAAAGTATATTAGATCCATATTATATACAAAATATTTTGAGCACAGTTAAATTTTTTATATTACAAAATAGTAATAAGAACTTTGAGTGGCTAGGAGTTGGTGCTCCTACTATCATATTAAATTTCAGAATAAAGCGGAAAGTTTTAAAAAATATATAATTTTTTACCAACCCTCTTTTGAAACGAATTATTAATTTCTGTTATTAGAAAGGACTTCTAGTAGTGTTGCTAAATGGCCTGATTTGGATCGATTTCAAAAAATGGCCCGATTAAGATTTTAGCCAAAATAATATTATATAAGTATGGGGAGATTTTGCTCAAAGATAGCAAAAAGGTTTGAACTTCTAGTTGTCCAATCTCAAGGTTTACATAATATTATTTTGGCTAAAATTTTAATCGGACAGTTTTTAAAAATCTACTCAAATCTTTGAAAACATTCAGCGCCTTCATGAACGGGGAGGGGGGGGGGATAGGAACAGTTTTCTTCCAATTTTTTTGAAGGGGTAGGAGGTCTGCATTTAAAGGGGGTAAGATAAATTTGTTTGGGCGTTACTATTAAATTTTTAGATAAAATAAAGCAAATGCATTGCTGTATAAATTAATACTTTTATTATAGACGTATTTTTAATTCAATCATATTGCTAATAATCGACCAAATCTATATATTACACATAATGATAGACATTATTTTCCAAAAGAAACTATTTCTGAATAATTTTAAGCTCTCCTCTTAAATTAGGCATTCTATCAGTACTCATATTCATGTCAAACGATATAATAATATATTTATTGTAAATGAGGGGGTTATTAATTAAATTTAAGTTCCAAAAAGTGACACTTTTAGATTCACAATAGTTGGTAGTAGAGCATTAATATTTTAAGTTATTCTTTAAAGATTTATAAAAAAAGCACCATTCCAGTAAAAAACTTTTATATAGACGCTGACAATATTAAATTTTAAATACAAAAGTAAGAAGTCTTATGTTTTAATCCATGTGAAAAAAACTTGTTGACCCTACTCCATAAAGACACCCTTCTTTCAGTTAACAAGTGAGAATTTCCTTATAGTGAGAACCTCCTCATAATCACTAATTCTTCCAAAGAGTTTAAGATCATTAATGTTTTTAAAGTATATTTTCTCTTTTATATTTTAAAATACAATTATCATTTTTATAATGTAGATTACTAAGAAACGCTTAGAATAAATAAAATCGTAATTATTTTTAGCATAAATTTAAAGGTTGCAAATATTCCTGATTATGCTCATATTTATAAACATGATTACCTGTATAAATTGTTGCAAACTATTTACTTACCTTAAGAATGAAGTAGTCAA